CCTAGACTGAGCCAGTTTGTCGGTGTGCTTGGAACTGTGTCTGTGGCAGGCAGCCTCTGTACTGGTAAGGGAGACCTATGCATACAGTCAACTGCCACTCCAGGAGTGAGAGCTACATGTTCATATTTTTTGCCAAATAAAAATAAGTCATGATCAATATAATTAGAAGTCTGTATATCCGTGTGTAATTTGAGGGGGATTTCGATGGAAATTGCATCAATGGTAGCCTCAAATGTTTTCCACGTGACCTGCCTAGGGGTAATTTGCTATAGAGTCCTTCATGGTGCCATACTTTATTACCTATGCTTCTTTCCAGGGTTTGGATTATCTTCCTGCGGGTGATAACCCATTTAGATCTGTGCATTGCTGGAACACGCTTTTTCGGCTGTTTTAGTGCATTGGTAGCCCACTGATATCAATGGGTTCCCTAATACAGTGCGCATCAAAAACCTCACCAATGTAAATAGGTCCATTAGGGGTTAGTTACTAAAACTGCAGAGTGCAAAATCTGATGCAGCTCTGCATAGAAACCAATCGGCTTCCAGTTTTTATTGTCAAAGCTTAACTGACCAAGCTTGAATTAGAAGCCGATTGGCTACCATGCACAGCTGCAACAGATCTGGAGTGCTCCAGTTTCAGTAAACAAAAGATTTCCCAGCACACTTAGCGACCAGCCTGCAAAACAACTGAATTATCCCTAACAGTTTGTGTTAAAAACAAAGGGTTTTGTTTGCACACATTTGCAGATATATGCCTAAGCTACAGGCCCCAGGCTTAGACAGGGCTGATTCGATTGTTTTGCAGGCTGATCGGTACGTGTGCTGGGAAATCTTTTGTTTGTGTTGTGCATAGCCCTTTCATATGCAACTTGCTGCAAAGGCCAGTTATAGATCGGAGTGGTTGCCACTTTTTTGTACCAGATTTAGTATATCTCCCCCTAAGTGTTCCTGGACTACGCTTGTTTTCCACTTGTTCTGGCTTTCTGTCTGGTTCAACAACATTTGTCTGATGGCCCTGATCTTCTTTCCAGTTCCTCAGCTACATCTCTTTGTTGCTTGCCCTGACCTTCTTCCTGATTACTTGAATATTTCCATGAGTAATCTGTTGCCTGGCATGACCTTCTGCTTGGTTTCTCAACTACATTAGTCTGCTGCCAGTCCTGACCTTCTTCCTGGTTCTTCAAAAGGCTTCTTTACTAGTCTGTTGCCTGACAAGACCTTATTCCTGGTTCTTCAAAAGGCTTCTTTACTAGTCTGTTGCCTGACAAGACCTTATTCCTGGTTCTTCATTAACGGTTTCCTTTATGGGTAAGATCAAATGAGCAGTTTTCACAGTCTGATTGTCAGCCTCATGCACTTAGCCAACTGAGCTGAACTGTTGGTGCTATATAAATCCTGTATTATAATAATAATAACATGAATGACATCTACTCTCCATGGGGCAGATTTAGGAGCATATTCACCCAATCTAACTGGTTATGGTGATTGTGGGTAGTGATCTTATGTTTTGTAGGCTCTTGTTGACCCAAGCAGACATCCCAGGTTCAAGCATTCTTGAGCAATTGAAAAGATCAGGTGGGAATTTTTTACCAACGTAAGCTAGTGTGTCAATGCACCCCTTTTGCTCCTCCACAAGTTCAAGTTTATAGAATGATCTTTGTTAGAAGTGTAGCACCCTCCTAGTATAGTGTAGGCTGCTAAGCAAATTTAGTTGGCTTCACTGTAATCAGAGGAGAAGGGGTTGATTATTTAGGGCTGCCCAGTGTTTCACATGATGCTGCTCTGTTTCTTGCCCCTCTGTTCTAGAAGATTCTAAAAACATAGTGGGAGGAAGGACAGATTAAGCATCATGAATAAAATTTATGGGACTTTGGCCAAAACCTGGAGAGATGTGCCCTGTAGGTGGTGTGAGAACCCATAAATAGTTTGAGGCCTGAGCAGCAAGGTGCAGTGTTCCTGGGTCTAGTCCTGCTGGAGGAGACCCCTGGTGCAAAATCCTGAAGGAAGTCTTTAGGAAGACACTGAGGTCCCAGCTAGACTTAGCTGGGGGGCCTATTTGTAAGTCTGAGTCCGGGGATCAAGTTGGGTCTGGAGAAGCTCAATGGAAATACCCTGGAGGAAGTTGGTGGGAAAGTGTCCAGCTGTCCTATGATCATGTGCAGGACTTTTTTTCTTCGAGAATAGGTGCAAGAACTCCCACCTACTGAATCACTTCTTGTATCCTCCTCCCATACCCACTTCAGAGCACAGTCCCTTGGTTCCACCCACTACCCACCTCCCAGTACCACTCCTTATAGAGAATACACTGCCAAGTATCATATTGTGGTGCTAAGTAATTTGTATGGAATGTATTAATAATAGCAAGAAAAGCATTAAAATAGATCCCCTGCAGCCAGCAGAAATAGATCCCCAAGCAACAAAATACCACCCCAGTAACAACAGACCCCCCAAGCAACAAAATACCACCCCAGCAACAATAGACCCCCAGCAGCAACAACAGATCTCCAGCATACAGCGTCAATACACTCTCCAGCAGCAAGCAACAATAGACCCTTCCCCAAACAGTAGATCCATTCCAGCAGCAATAGATCCCTCACCAGTCACAATAGACCTCCCCAGCAACAATAGACCACCATGCAAAAATAGATCCCCTCTAGTGACAATAGATCCCCCAGCAGCCAGCATCAATAGACCTTCCAACACCTCTTGCCATTACATACATTCAGTACTGGAGGTGCCATTTACCCACTTCGCCCGCGTTCCATCTGAAAAAAAAGCCCCGGTGACATGAATCTACATCTCCCTCACTAGGAAGAGCATGGTGGATATCAGAAGGAGGCAACCAATGATTTTGTGGCTATGTGAGTAGATGACTTCAGTGCTGAAGAGTGGTGATGTTTGTAGCTTTTAACTCTGAAAGGAGTACAGGTCACCAACAGCATACAGATCCTTTGGGACATTCATTTTTGTACACTGCAGTGCTCAAGTTGTTCAGTTGTACATCTTATTGGAGATACCTTGCTCCTTCTCCCTATCCAAGTTCATTGTTCCCATTAGAAACCGAAAAAGAAACTCCTAGACTGTTCTTTGGAGCCAGTGGAAGAGTGCTGCCGATGTTTTGTGCCTGTCTGTGCGTGCGCCAAGGCAAAATATTTATTTTATTTTATTTATTTCAGGTATTTATATAGTGCCGTCTATTTACGCAGCGCTTTACACATATATATATACTGTGCATTCACATCAGTCCCTAACCCTCAAGGGGTGTACAATCTAAGGTCCCTAACTCACATTCATACATACACATACTAGGGCCAATTTAGACAGGAGCCAATTAACCTACCAGCATGTCTTTGGAGTGTGGGAGAAAACTGGAGTACCTGGAGGAAACCAATGCAGGCACAGGGAGAACATGCAAACTCCAGGCAGGTGGTGCCATGGCTGGGATTCGAACCAACGACCCTAGTACTGCCAGGCGGAAGTGCTAACCATTTAGCCACTGTGCTGCCCATAGGCCTCAATTCACCAGTGGCTTTTTTGCGGATGCACTACAGAAGGAATGTTGCGGGCTATCTATAATTTAAAGGTTTATAGATTTTGCTGTGCATTGTTCATGTTTTGGCTTGAATATTTTTTTCCAAACTGTAATAGGGAAAGTTGTTATGTTAAAATGTAGCAAGTGGTGGAAAGCAGACAGACTGATGGTTGAAAAACGCAAAAAAAAATATACATCACTTTGAAGAGCGTTCCACCACCAGTTCTCCCCCATTCCAAATAACAGATTGTGCAATGTTCAGAGTGGGGTAGATGATTGGCAAAAGTTTTGGTAAGAATGAACAGCCGAAAGTCCAAATGGCAGAAATCTGCTTACCAACCGGGTGTTTCTGGGTTGTTTAGTATCTTTGTTGAAGTTAGACAAATCTGAGCAGAGGGTAGACTTGCAAAGCGGCAGATGTGCTGCGATACAAAGCTGCATCCCATGAAATGTTATCCATTCCCAGCATTTGTATCTTGGCTCGACTGAGATGGTTTTGGCTGTGGTGATTTATTAGTAGTGTAGATGAAGATACATTATACAAACACAAAACTCTTGTTTATGGCAGAAGCGATTAAAAGAGTATAGAACAAAAATGTTTACTGAAGCTGGTAGTCCAGCCAAAAAATGTTTTTTTTATATAGATCAGCCTTTTTCAATCTTCTTGCTCAAAAAGAAACCCTACAACCAAATCATCTGAGATCAGTGGGGAAAATGCTGCTTAGATTGGTGGTCAGTGGGAAGTATACTCAGATTCTTGATGCCATGCTGGTTGGTTCTGTGAAGTGGTGGTGATCCTGGAACTAGGACAACTAGTGCTGGACAGAACTTCGAACAGAGACAATTCACTAAGCGGTATCTTACCGCATCTGAGTATGCCGCACAGCTACTAAAATACTGAATGAGTTATATTATTATGTCCTGTGGTATTTCAGTAGTGAAAACATTCTTTAACCACTTGCCTACCAGGCACTTATACCCCCTTATTTACCAGGCCAATTTTCAGCTTTCAGCGCTGCCGCACTTTGATTGACAATTGCGCGGTCATGCAACATTGTACCCATATGAAATTTTGATCATTTTTTTCTCACAAATAGAGCTTTCTTTTGGTGGTATTTAATCGCCACTGGGCGCTTTACTTTTTGCGCTATAAAAAAAAAAATGCCAAAAATTTGAAAAAAAAAAAAAAAAAGTTTCTTTGTTTCTATTATAAAATTTTTCAAACAGATAATTTTTCTCCTTCACTGATGTGCGTTGATGAGGCGGCACTGATGGGCACTGATAGGCAGCACTAAAGGGCACTGATAGGCAGTACTAATGAGGTGGCACAGATAGGCGGCACTGATAGACAGCACTAATGAGGTGTCACGGATAGGCGGCACTAATATGCAGCACTGATAGGCGGCACTGATAGGCGGCACTGATGATGGGTACTGATAGACGGCACTGACTGGCATCACTGCTGGGCACTGACTGGCGGCACTGACTGGCACAACCGCTGGGCACTGACTGGTGGCACTGGCGGGCAGCACTGGTGGGCAGCACTGGTGGGTGGCACTGGTGGGCAGCACTGGTGGGTGGGCACAGGTGGGTGGCACTGGTGGGCACAGGTGGGTGGCACTGGTGGGCACAGGTGGGTGGGCACAGGTGGGTGGCACTGCAGGGCACAGGTGGGTGGCACTTCTGGGCACAGGTGTGTGACATTGCAGAGTGGCACAGGTGGGGGCACTGCTGGGCACAGGTGGGTGATCTGCTGGGCACAGGTGGGCGGAGCTAGTGGGTGCACTGCAGGGCACAGGTGGGCGGAACTTGCGGGTGGCACTGCTGGGCACCGATCATCAGGGCACTGATCATCAGTGGCCCTGATGATCGGTGCCGATCCCCACTCTGACAACTGCCGGTTCTCGGCAGTACTTTCCTCACGATCTGACAGCGTGAGGAAAGTGCAGCCGAGAACCGGCACTTGCATTTCCCTCTGATCAGCGTGTCATTGGACACCGCTGATCAGGTGGTAAAAGGCCGCTGTGATTGGCCTTTTACCACATCACGTGATCAGCTGTGTCCGTAGGACACAGCGATCACGGAGATCGCCGGGTGCGCGCCCCCTGGGGTGCGCAGGAGAGCGCGTTCTGGGGGGACGTCATATGACGTCCACTCAGAAATGGCCGGCCGCAGTGCAGCCGTCATTCGGCTATCTGCGGTCGGCAACAAGTTAATGTTTCAGCTGTCAGTGGGGTTCACCGCTGACATTAAAATGTTAAAAGAATTGGCGGCAATTAAAAACCAAAAACAAAAAACTGCATGGGGTCCCCCCCCATCCATACCAAGCCCTCCAAATCTGGTATGGATTTTGAGGGGAACTCCCACAACAATTTTTTTTTTTTAAATGGCATGGGGGTCCCCCCAAAATCCATACCAGACTCTTATTTGAGCATGTAGGCAGACATGTCAGCAAAAAAAAAACGAGCGAGCACCCTCCCCTCCTGAACCATACCAGGCCATATTCCCTCAACATGGGGGGTATCTTTAGGGCCCCCCAAAGCACTCTGTCACCATGATGATGGGGAAAAAGGCCCCTTCCCCACAAATGTGGCCAGTGGTTGTGTGGTCTGCTGGCGGGGGGCTTTTTGGAATCTGGAAGCCCCCTTTAACAAGGGGGCCCCCAGATCCAGGCTCCCCCCTTTGTGAATGAGTACTTGGTACATGGTAAACTACTCATTCACAAAAAAAGAAAGTGTAGTGTAAAACATGACAGTAGACAGTCTTTGACAAGTACATTATTAAAAAAAAAAAAAAAAAATGTCAATCCAACATCAATCACAATGCCCGCTGCCACAGCCAACCCAAAAAAAAAAAAAACAAAACACTCTGCTCTCAAGCCTGGCTCCCGCCGTCTCACAGCTGCGCCAATTTGACAGATCTTAAATACTCTGATGATGTCACATGGGGGTGGGGTCACCCCACCCCCTTGGGCGGGTCATCCCACCCCCTTGTGTCATCATGCACTGTGATTTTGGACTTCATTATATGGTCAAAATATTTGGACTTTAATATAGGAAAGGAACACTTTGTAATCACAGTATAGCATGAAGTCAATGGAACTCCTGGGATATTGATCTGCTCAGTTAAGTAGCAGAGGGAGTTGTTAATTTCATTAACACCAAAGCAGCTGAAACTGATTAACAACAGGTGCACTAGATGGGCAACAATGAGACAATCCCCAAAACAGGAATGGTTTTACAGGTAAAGACCATAGACATTTTTTTCCCTACACATCATTTCTGACTGTTTTTCAGTAGTTTTGTATTTGGCTAGGGTCAGTGTCACTACTGGTAGCATGAGGAGATACCTGGACCCTACATAGGTTGCACAGGCAGTCCAACTCCTCCAGGATGGCACATCAATACGTGCCATTGCCAGAAGGTTTGCTGTGTCTCCCAGCACAGTCTCAAGAGCATGGAGGAGATTCCAGGAGACAGGCAGATACTCAAGGAGAGCTAGACAGGGCCATAGAGGATCATCAGCAGGACCGGTATCTGCTCCTTTGTTCAAAGGATGAGCACTGCCAGAGCCCTACAAAATTACCTCCAGCAGGCCACTGGTGTGACTGTCTCTGACCAAACAATTAGAAACAGACTTCATGAGGGTGGCCTGAGGGCCCGATGTCCTCTAGTGGGCCCTGTGCTCACTGCCTGGCATCATAGAGCTCGATTTGCATTTGCCATTGAACACCAGAATTGGCAGGTCCACCACTGGCACCCTGTGCTTTTCACAGATGAGAGCAGGTTCACCCTGAGCACATGTGACGGACGTGAAAGGGTCTGGAGAAGCCATGGAGAATGTTATGCTGCCTGTAACATCGTTCAGCATGACCGTTTTGGTGGTGGGTCAGTGATGGTCTGGGGAGGCATATCCATGGAGGGACACACAGACCTCTACAGCTAGACAATGGCACGCTGACTGCCATTAGGTATCGGAATGAAATCCTTGGACCCATTGTCAGACCCTATGCTGGTGCAATGGGTCCTGGGTTCCTCCTGGTACATGACAATGCCCGGCCTCATGTGAGTATGCAGGCAGTTCCTGGAAGATGAAGGAATTGATACCATTGAATGGCCCCCACGGTCGCCTGAACTAAATCCAATAGAACACATCTGGGATATCATGTTTCTGTCCACAGGAGCTCAGTGATGCCCTGGTCCAGATCTGGGAGGAAATACCCCAGGACACCATCCATCATCTCATTAGGAGCCTCCCCCGACGTTGTCAGGAACGCATACAAGCACGGGGGGGCCATAGAAACTACTGAGTACCATTCTGAGTTGCTGCAATGAATTTTCAGCAAAATGGACTCGCCTGCTGCATCATTTTTTCACTTTGATTTTCGGGCTGTCTTTGAATTCAGTCCTCTGTAGGTCGATCATTTTCATTTCCATCAAACAATGGGGCATCCTTATGTTCCTAACACATGACCCAGTCCATATCAGTATATACAGTATATCCAGTATCAGATTGTTCCCCATTGAGATCTTAATTTAATTTTTTTGAACAGTGTATTGTATTGGAATAATTGATTAATCATTTATGGTTGCTCTGCACTATATTCATTTTTTGAACCTTTGGAGGAACCCTTGAGTTTCATGGTACCTTGGTTTAGAATGTCTGATAAAGAATATGCAACGTGGACAAGGATTGGTTCTGAAAGAGATTTTTTTGACTTTCTGACCTGTTGACCTCACAGAGAGTGAGGGGAAATCTTCCTAACAGGGACTGAAATACTTCCCTTTCCCTGAGAAAATGCTGCATCAGGTTCCCTCCAGTGCCAGTCACATGAACAAAAGCCTAGTTCCATGCTGCAAGGGGTGATCAAAGCCTAGAGATAGATCACATTCAGCAGAAATCACATGACAAAATGCCTAGGCATTTGATCACATGACCACATTTCACCCTTTAAGCAGGCCACGTGTAATATGATCTCCTTTCAATATACAAATAACCGGGGCTTTTTTGTCAGCAGGAATGCGGGAGAAGACAGTTCCAGCACCCCCAGTACTGAATGTATGTAATGGCAAGGGGTGATGGGGTGTCTTGGAAGGTCTATTGAGGCTTGCTGCTGGGGAATCACTGGGGGATCTATTTTTGTGAGGCAGTCTATTGTTGCTGGGGAGGTCTGTTGTTGCTGCTTGGGGATCTATTGTTGCTGGAAGGGATCTACTGTTGAGGAAATGGTCTATTGTCTCTGGCTTATGGAGAGTCTATTGATGCTGGGAGATCTGTTGTTGCTGCCAGGGATCTATTGTTGCTGGGGTGGTATTTTGTCTTGGGGATCCATTGTTGCTGGGGGAATATATTGTTGTGGGGGTCTATTGTTGCTGGGGGGGGAAACTATTGCTGCTGGCTGTGGGAGATCTATTTTACTGCTTTTCTTGTTATCATTAATGAATCCCATACAAATTAGCACCATAAAATGATAATTGGCAGTGCATTCTCTAAAAGGAGCGGTACTATGCAGTGAGTAGGAGGTGGAACCAAGAGATGGTGCTCAAAGGTGGGAGGAGACAAGAAGTGACTCAAAAGGAGTTCCTGCGCCTATTCTTTGAGAAAAAAGCCCTGCAAATAACTAGGTAGTTCAAGGTCCTAGCTGATTGGATACATATTGATTGGATATTATTGGAAGGGCCTCACATTAACTACTTCCCTGCTGCCCTATAGTAGAAGTACTACTACAGGGCTGTGCAAAATCAAGTATATGTACGTGATTTGCATTTCCGGGTAGTAAGCGTGTGTGCACGCCGCCCTACCCATGCTGCCATTGGTGGCTTGGCATTTCAATCACCGGGTCCCAGTCGGAAATTTCCCCCCCTGAAACCCGGTGATCGCTGTGCAAAGCTGACAGGGGAGAGACCTGTGTGTAAACAACACAGGTCTCTCCTCAGTCAGAATGGACATGCTGTTTTGTATTTCTCTGCACAGAAGAGAAATACAAAGCAGCATGTCTCCCTAGCAAAACAGCACACAGCCCCCATAGTGAAACACACACAGCACACAGTTAACCCTTTGATCGCCCAAAAGTTAACCCCTTCCTGCCTAGTGTCATTAGTACAGTGTCAGTGCTTTTTATTAGCACTGATCACTGTATTAGTGTCACGGGGATGTCAGTGGCAGTTAGTCAGTTCCCCCCCCCCCCAGTGTCGGAATGCCCGCCACAGTCCCGCTATAAGTTGCTGATCGCCGCCAAAAACAATTCCAGTATATATACCACCATTTGCAGATGCTATAACTTTCACATAAACCAATTAATTTACACGTATTGGGATTTATTTTAGCAAAGAAATGGAGCAGAATACATTTTGGCCTAAATTTATGACAATTTTTTTTTTTTTTATTGGATGTGTTTAATAGCAAAAAATTAAATTTTTTTTTTTTTGCAAAATTGTCGGTTTTTTTGTTTTGTTTGTAGCGAAAAAAAAAAAAAAAAAAAAACCGCAGAGGTGATCAAATACCATCAAAAGAAAGCTCTATCTGTGGGAAAAAAGGACCTAAATTTCATTTAGGTACAGCATTGCATGACCGCGCAATTGTCAGTTAAAGTAACGCAGTGGCGTATCACTAAAAATGGCCTGGTCAGGAAGGGGGGTAAGTCCTCTGGAGGGCAAATGGTTTTAGATACTCTAGAGGAGACTATCCATAGATTGTACAATCAGACTGTATTGTATATGGCTGACTTCAGAGTATACGGTATACTGCTTATAAATCAATCTCAGCAAGTCACCTAAGACAGGTCCACTTTAAACATTACACATAATAAGATAACCAAAAGGACCTTTTATCCAGCAAATGATTCCCAAATAATGTGCAGTCCAGCGTCAGACTAACTCGCAATAAAACATTCTGATTGGTTGGTGCTAACATGCAGGAAGACAGCTCATCTTTAAAGCCCCCTGTTCACAGGCTGTAGAGACGGTCTTAATTAGTGAACATTTTTACAGGCTGTCAAAACATTTTTGGACAGCTGGTAACCCCATCGCACCCC